TTTATTTTATGTTGTTTTAATTATTGGTAATAGCATTTGCATATATAAATTTAGATTTAATTAGTAAATGGCTCTTATCTCAATTTTACGAGCTTCCTTATTTCTTTCTCCTCCAATTCGTCCCCTCCGCTGGAGGAGGGGAGGGGGATTTGTGAGAGCGGCTTCGTGGTATTTTGCTAGCCGGAGTTAAACCACGACATGCTTTAGCAAGAACTTCAGATATTTTAACCAATGCAGGTAACTTGCTTACACTGGGCAATGCCACCTAAAATGTTTAGGCATAGAAATTACAGGAATCTCTTTTATTATTGAGGAAATGCGCATCAGTGTTTCTGTTTTTATCTCACTTCTTTTACAAGCCACTTCCTAATAGTGAGATCCATTTTCTTTCACAGGACTGAAGAATACTCTTTTGGACCCTTTGCAGAATGTAGTATGTTTATATACAGTAGAACCTTCACTTTGGCTGAGGGCACCCAGCTGCTCAAAGTATTAGATCAGCGGGGTTGCTGGCAAGTAGCAGTTGTGTTAGATAGTTAACCCAACAAAAATGCACAGTGTCTCGGAGATCTCAAAAATACAAACTAAAGAAATTAATATTCATCACAAATCCACATGCTTGGCTCCAGGAGAGCACCCTACAATGTACTTCATTTTGCCATGTTTCACCCTTCATTACTTTCATCAAATATGCTTCTTATTGCACAATATTTACAAATTCCATTGATATGTGATGGCATATCCTGTAGGCCTCACATGCTCACCAACTTGTTGGTTTTCTGGACAAGGAACAGTTCCATAATCCAAATAACTGACCTATGGTTGATCTGTTCTTGACAACCAGCCAGCAGTGGTAGCTGAAGAGTGACAGTATGCTGATGAAGAACATGGCTGCCACAAAGAAAAGGAATAGCACGTGGAATTTTGCATGGGTATCTGGCAATTCATTCTGGGGGGAGAGAGAGAGAGAAAGAGATTATTATGTTAACGATTTTTACCAACTAATGCGGTGTTATCACTAAGTATTTTCTGCCACACCCATTCTGCTACAGGTCTTTCGCCTCACTTCTCACAGACTAAAAAGCAGAAGCCCAGCTCTCCACGTCGTGTTAAACTGGCGTGTAACATCATTTAAAGCTGAGGGGTACCCCCTCCATCGGGGTTTAATAGCGTGAGTGCATATATTCATCTGTTTGACAGCACTGTGTATAATCAAGGGTTAATTATTTAAATGCACAGTAGGGGGCAAGGAAAAGATTTCCTATGGTAAAAAAGCCCCCATGTTAGCTGTGCAGCCACACCCAAAGAGACACAGGGAAAACATGTCCAAAATCACTTTCTTTGAAGGAAGAAAAAACAACTAAAACTTTCAAACCCTTTCCTGGGAAGGTAGTAATACTGAACCTACTTCTGAACCGGTGTTAGGAATGTAAAAGGGAAATGGCTATCAGGTATTTCCAAGGCTGGACAACTCCTACACAAGACCTGGGAAAACATGATTTAGGCAACAACCAGGATGTACCTAGCAAACCCAATTTGCCACGTCTGACCAGGCAGAAGTTATTCACCAGAAGATCTATGTGAAAAACAACAGATTCAGCACAACTACTATATAAAAAAAAAAATCACTTCCCACCCATATTGGATAGTTGATTCCACCCCCAAACCCAACTATTTTTAGGCCTGCACTTTCAAGTGGCCAGTGGGATTTGTAACAATACTATTCTAGTTCTACATCCTCAAAATCACAGTGCTTTTAAGTATCTGACCTTTAACAGCACTATGAAAGCAGAGGCTATTTTTATTCAGCCGTTTAGTTAGCATTATTGCCATTACTTTTTCCATTAGCTCATTCAGTATACCCACTTATCTAGGGCTGATTTTTTTTTAGACTAAAGCATATTTCAATTAAGATCAAGTGCACACAGGTGTACCTATATCCCTGTGCACCGCCTGTTTTCATAGGCAACAGATTACAAGTCTCCTTCCTTCTGTGATGGAGTTAATAGCTACCGTGAATGACTGGATTAGAAAAATTATAGTAGGAACAGTATTTAAATAATTACAGCAATATTGGATTTTACCTTTGGACAATTCTCTGCAGCTTTCCTGCGGCAAAGCTTTGCGCAAACAAAGACAATTTATTAAACACTAGTATTATGTTAAGACGAAGTGTTTGAAAACAGCACAGGCTTTGTTAAGAGAGAAACGGTTGGTGGGCGCACGTGCTCTTGGACGTGCCGAGTTCCAACGCCCATCAGCAGCCTCAGCCCCCACTCTCCAAGAGAAAGGAGGGGAGAGTACGTAAGCACAAGGCTAACTTCCAGAACAATATAATTTGCCATTCTTTGCACAATCTCCTTTGTTTAAAAAAAGAACCCATTACACTTCAGCGCAGTTTTTCTTCTTCCAAATATCCTTCAACACTGAGGTTTGTCTGTGGGACGTATCTTTAGCGCAACATCTGAAACTGAACCAGTACTTAAGAAAATAAAGCAAGAAGATAGGAAAGCTTAAATTAGCTTTTCAATTGTGAACTTTATGCCTAAAGAGTGGTATTAGCCGTCTTAGCTAAGATGGCAGTACTGAGCAAATCTGCTGTAGGCAAGACGTCTGGCTTTTCTGTGACACTGACCTGTGCAGAACGCCCAGGGAGAGCCCAAGCTCCCCCCCTGGAGTTGGGCAGATATGGCTACTATCAGAACATGCTACAGTCAGCAACTCACAGCGCTCTGAACTGCCGTCTAAGTTCAGCTTCCTTGTCCACCGCCAGGTTTGTTGGATGCAGCTTTGCTTAGACAATTTGTGCAACAGTCCCTCTCCCCGCAACTGTACACACTCCAATTGCTGCTTATTCCTAAGCGTCACGTTAAAGCTGCGATGACTTTACCTACCTCAGAGCACACGGCAGTGCTCCCCAGTTTCCTAAGTGATTTCTGTAACATCTATTTGTATGACGCTTTTGGAATTGCATATTTAGACAAACCAGTTCTCTACAAAGGATTCCCAGGCCAGTTGATTTTGAAGCTCAAAGAGCAGTAGCAGCTCAGTGTCTGCATTTTACATGGGCCAGAAAATACAAGTTTATTTCAGTTGCATCCTCCTAAAACAGTAGCTCTATAACCTGGAGAAGGATTTTTTGATTTATGCCCAATTAATCTGCACGATCTCCAGGGAGCATTTACCTCTTCTGACTACCCAGCTGCAGCCGCTGGTTTTAAGTTCTCGAATGACAGTTGCAGAACTGAAGCATCTTTCAAAAAAGGCTAATTCCTTCCTGGGGAGAAGCATGCAGGCTTTGCATATAACGAGCTTATTCACAGTTGTGTTCCAGCAGCAGTCCACATGCCACAGCATGTGAAAAGAGAGTGAAACTTCAGGCATCAGTTACTTAAAATCATCATGCTCTCAATAGCAGCACAGAAGCAGAGACTTGCAGGCCAGAGAGCTCCAGAGCTTACAAAGGGAAGCCATTTGCATAATAAAATTTGGGCTACTTAGCTCACAGAAGCCTGTCATATTCTGGAGGGTTCCCTACAAACTCCTTCACAAGCACAAGTCATGAGCGTGTATCAGGTCACAAAACCCACTACAAAAAAAGTGCTGTAAGAGTTTGACTTACTATTACTCTTGCAGTCACTAGGTCTAGCTTAAATCTAGAAAAAACTCCAAAGAGCTGGTATGTGTCCTTATGTGTGTATGCAAGAGGAATGAGTTCCAACTAAGGATCTGGAATCACTCTCTTTTTTTCTGGGGTGTTGTTTTGTTAATACAATGGATGTTTTGCAGAAGCGTGTCCCATCTACTCAGAACAGATACTACGTCCTTGAATTAGCTGTATACAGGATTGCCAAAATAATTTGGAGGACAATGAAAGACACTGAAAACAGCTGGAAAACACACAAGTTTCAAGGGGAGGGAGCGCAGCCAGCGACAGTACCACCATGCACTATGTAAACAGGGCATCAAGGACTGGGCGCTCAGCCAGCGCTGGTGTTTGTGTCAAATACACTTGGTTGAACCGAGGTTTTATATGCTCATCTTTAACAACTTCCTAGGTAGAAATAAAAATTTCATGAGTATAGGAAAAGTAGTTACGAGTATAAAAAAAGCGTCATTCACATTCCCTTGATCCACAAAACAGATTTTAACATCTGCATCAGCACGTGAGCCTGTAGTAAACATTTACAGCCAGTGCGGTTGTTTCACCACTGCATGAACAGTATCAAGATCTTCAGCATTTCTGCACAGAGCAGGAAAGATGCTGTGTAAACATCTTGAATGTGCCAGTGGGAAACGCAAAGACTTTCTTACACAGAAGAGGAAGGTAGGTGTGCATGTCTCACAACATTTACAAGTAGCTGTATATGTGTGCCGTGTCTCTATGCAAGTATTATCAACAGTGCAAACCAATGGATTGCTAAAATTTGTGTAGTTAGCACGTAACACCTTCACAACCTCATTACTACAAGTTCTGAAGTGACCAACGCTACACTCCCCAGGAAGCAGTTCATCTTCCATCCCAACACTGGATACATACAGCAGTTTGTTGCACACTTTCTCTGAAAAACATCTATGAGGAAGCAAAAAAGAAATACTACCTCCTGAAAGTATGCTGTAACATTTCTGGTAGTCAAGCTTTAGGGGAAAAACAGTATCTGGAGAGCCTCAGCAGACAACATGAAAACAGGAATCTGTCTGACAGCTCAGCAAAGATGAGTATTAGCAATATACTGAAGCAGCCTACAGACAGCATGTGTCAGCAGTAGTCCGCTCTGATCTGGATAAAGAAATAGAGAGAAGCTTCCAGGACCCTATTTTGCAGTCAGTAGCACTTACCTAAAAGCTTACATCCTAGAGACATAGTACATTTTGCAAGTCTACATGATTATGGTGTTGCCACCTGTATAATCTACTGTCTACTTCCATCAGGCTGTTATAAGATCAGAGGAATATTAGCTTTGTGGAACGAGTGACTGAATATTAGTAGAGTCTGAGACATACTCTAATGCTAAGATCATGGCATCATCAGGTTCTGTCTTGGAAGTAACCGGAAATAAAAGCAGCAAGTGCAAGCACACAACTACATTGCGTATCGTCACATTTCAGAAGTAGCCCATTCTTGCAGGAAGCATTTTAAAGAACTAAATCATAATGAAACAAAAAAACCCCTCTTAAGTTTACTTCCTCTGCTCAAGGATCCACTTCAGTGTTGTGTCCGATGGGCTTTGGAAGAGGCTCACTGCAAAAGCTGGTATTAAACGCTGACTGTGGTCAGATGTCCTGCGGACTTGTGTTGCGCTAACACTAATGAAGTGAGGCGGCAAAGCAAATCCATTTTTGTTGCTCAAGCACTGACTAGTAAATACATAAGAGCGCATCTACAGTTTCATTAGAAATGGCATACAAAGCACTGGAGAGCAGCCAGGCAGACGTTTGGGAGTGGCACATTCACAAATTAAAAAACTAACTATTTATAGTCAAGCAAGACTGAACAGCAGAATGAGACCATTTAATCTGAAATACCTGTCAAGCACAGCTATGGCTGATAAACACATTTGTGCCTTTCATCTCACACAGTACTGAGCGCTCAGTTCCCACACAACTCCCTGCTCTGCAGTGACAGCCCGCTATACAGAACTGACAGACTAAGAAACACGGTACTTTGGCAGGTCAGGCTTAGATGAACAGAAACGTAGGTACTTCTTGCACCATGTATCTTACCTGTCTCCTGCCAACTGTCTCGAAGCACAGCATTTGGTGTACACCGTCAAGCTTCCTCCCTGACATGGCAACATCTTTTTGCACCAACAGAGATTATTTCTACAGCGACAGCTAACGACTGCTTTTCCCAGCTACTGTGACAGCAACTAGTGCCTAAGAAATATGTGCTGTTCATTACTTATGAAGATATGATGGAGAGCCTTCCACTTCCAGGGATTCTCCCCATGCTAGTTAATGAAAACTGATGAAGAGAATTCTGACACTGGCTCTTCTGTCTAGAGACAGGAAGGCACAAGTACAAGGTTTTGGAGATGAAAGGGAATGACACCAGAAGACACTGTTCAGCCTGGAATGTGACTGGAATAGGTGGAATCTAACAGTGATGCACTAGGAAGCTTGCCCTTCACATAAATGTTATTAAATCTAGGAAGATGCATGCATTTGTGTTGATCATTTGACAACAGGTAACAGTTGAAGGAAGATGTTTATCATTAGCACGGTATGTAGCTTCACATTCTACCCGTATCAGATCGATAAAAGCCACTAGTATGAAGTTCAGACATGCCTAGGCAGGCACTCCAAAACAGAGCTCCGTCAGTTCCCAAGAAATTAATCTGCTTTATCTGGCAGCACGTTATCCATAAACAAGTCAAGGAAGATACAAAACTTATTTACATTTCACATTTGTCAGTATTTTTCTGTATGTGTGTATACATACATACATATATGCATTTGTTTGAAACAGCCAGTTCTTTCTGTATCTACATATCTATGTGCAATAGTCTCAAAAAAACCTGAGCTGTGCCACTCGATTCTGATGGAGCAGAGAAACTGCAGTGTGTCCTCACCAGAACTTCTTCCCCCAATTACTCATCCTGGGCAGCGTAATACATTTAATTCATTAATATTCAAAAGGTTGTCCTGCTTCAGTCACTTCAACTGACGCCGTTAATGGTAATGAACTACGCAACAGAGTAAATGGTGAGTGACAACATGCTGATGCAGCCTCCAGAAACACATGCAAGATTAAACAAATGAACAACAACAACAACAAAAAAGCCTTGCAACTTACTGTCCAAAACTTGATGAAGTACTGCAAGACTGTAGCAGCAACAAACAGACAGTACAGTAAAGAATACATTAAAAACAGGAGGAAGAATTTGTAGTTAGAAAATCCCACACAATTATTCACCCTAGAAGGAGGGGAAAGAAAAAGAGGTTACTACGATATACAAAAAATAAATAAAATAAACCAAAACCCAATACATTCAGCTTTTGCAGAGCATAACATGTATGATGTCAGTGGTATGCCCAAACGGTCTGGCACTAGTGTTTCAGAAGCATTTTAAGCCCCCATTTTGAATGAAGCCTCTTTCCTCAGGCCAAATGACCTGGACCTCTCACATAAATTTTACCTCCCACTGAGTTCTACAGGTCGGGCCATGAGCTGGCAAAGCGTGGGATACATACGGTCTGTATCGGAAGCCTCTCACACACTGAACTAACTGCAGCCATCGTGGCCGGTAATTCAAGCCTCTCCATCAGCTTCGGTGGATGATGCTTTGGCTACAAAACCACCCTTGAGTCAGCTATGGATCGCAGTGCTTCCATACTGACAGCAGCTAACATGTTTACTGAGTACCGGTGAATACACACTGCAGGAGAGGAACTGTCTGAGCAGGTCTTGCACATCATGCAGAACCCAGCGCTGATTTTCAGAGCGCAGTGGGTATCTCCTCTCCTGGTAACAACACCTCACTAAGCAAGAGAAGGAAATGCCATTTCTCCTAGGTCTCGGCAACACCAGGGTTTCTCTGTATGAGGAGAAACTGCATGATTTGGTGTGCTGGATTCAGCCATGACATTTGGGTACCGGGCCTACAACTCTACGTTGCAACACACATTAGGAACGAGATTTATTTTTGCATATTAAAGCCTCGAGTAGTTCTGTGAAAATCAAGTTTTACTTCAAAGTTGCATTTCTGAAGCAGCATCTAATTCATCGTTCATCATCATTATACTGATTTTTTTCCTTGTCTTTTAAAAACTTACCATGGACAGTGGTGGTCCATTTTTAGTACACATCTGAAAGAGATCATTTCCAGTAAGTCAAAGCAAATAAATACATTTTCCTTCTAAGACACATACTTCTAGCTTCTACAGTTCAGGGTTTTGGGTTTTTTTGCTAAGGTATTTTGCCCCACTGTATCTTTTTCAAGTCCCTCAATCACGCCAATTCTCCGTATTATAGCAGCCATCCTTTCACCCCAAAGGACCAAGTGAGCTTCGGATGGCTTATGAAGAGTCTCTTAAACTGACGTGATGAGCATTATTGAGCAACACCACGTAATAGCTCATGAAGCCACACCAGTTTTATGTGCACACTGAGAGAAAACAAATCCAAAGGACCCTTCAGAGTTGGGTGGATAAGGTATGTTAGCCTGAAATTCACTTCAGCTGTGTCTACCTTAGGCTTATTTTTGCTGCCATTTTTTTTGTTTGCTGCTTGGGTTTTTTTTAGCACTAATTGAGGAAAAAGCAGCACTGTGGGTAACTTGAATAGTCCACATGCCACTTTCATCTGGTTTATTGTAAGGACAGATGCTAGACATTTCAAACACAGACATTCACTGTATTTGCTAATAAATTTGATTTTAGCCAAAAGATAGGCGTAAGGTTCTTCAGTTAACTACATTTCCTCAAGCTCAGCCTACTGAGGTCTCACTCACAGCCTCAGTCTTCAGTGCCCTTACAGACTTCTCTGATGATTCAGAATGAGGCTAGGGAATAGCAGTGATGTCTTTGAAACGGTTAAGGCATGTAACTGCACTTTCAATCTTTCAGATAAAGATTTTCAGCATTATCAGTAGCACACATCTGTGTCAAGGCTGCAGAAACACGATACAGTAAGAGTTCTATAATAAGCATTTTCTGGTGCTGGTATCTCAGACCAGCCTTTTCTCACTTTCAATTTCTGGATTTTTACCTTTTGTTTTGTTTCTAATAGAAGTACTGTTTTACAAAGCTCCAAGCAGATTTCCTACAAAGTTCTGTCACTTTGGACAATGAGACTGCAATAATACTATTGCACCAACAGGAGGAACTTTGCTTTTTCATGAAATTCAGGTACTGGGGGTCTGAGAGAGGAACAACGTGCTGTTATGCAGGAGCTGACACGCTGAAGACATGAACACACTGAAGGGATGATCTCAGGGAAGAGGAAATCCATGATTTCAGGTTCAGTAACTTACATGTCACACGCAGAACAGTGGTGGCAGCGGTCAGGTTTGATTAGCTGGCATCGATCACAGTATCTGATTGCTGCGTTCAAGTGGCAAGGGTCAAGTCATTAGAACATAGAATTTTACAAAACCTTTCCTCCTTAACATGAACTGAATCTTGAAGAGCTTCCTGCCATCCCCTGCCCCACCTCTTCTCACAGACCTTCATGTATCTACTCTCACATGATAGGTACTTTTTATTTTTTAAGAAATGTAACATACAATAGTATTTAAAACATTTTCATCTATTCCTACTGTACCGAGTCTATTTCCATTTACTCTTTGGCTCCCCACTCTTCCCATCCTTCAGCCTCAGGCACTGATCCCCTATCACTTGCTTTCTTTCACCTCTGGACAGGGTACTCAGGCATCCCATTGTGAAAATACGTTCTTTCAGCAAGCCAACTTTCTGCATTAGCTTTCTCCATCCTCTTCAGCCAACAGTGATCTAGCAGACTGTTCAGTAAATCAGCTCATCCTCATCTTTCCTAGATATTTCTGAACAAGCCTTCAGGCTCTTCTCAATGGAAATAAGACACCAAGCAGTTTGAAAGGAGGAGGAAAGCCAACACCTACAGCTAAGCAGAACTGCTAAGAGCTGGCAAGAGCTTCCCAGACCACTTCAGGAATTTAAGACTGGGATTCCCTTAAAGGGAGGATTGTATTCAAAAAAGCCAGGTGCTTTTAGACTTTGTTTGGAAAGTCACTTTGAATAACTTTGGTTAACAGCTATTCTGAGTACTTTATGTTTTCGGAAAACTCTACAGGGTTGCTAGTTTCAAGAAAGAGACACAGCTATATATAATATAAAAGCTAGAGTTTTAAAGAATATACATATGTATAAGACAGCAGTTTCACAGATCATTCATATATAAGTTGGAATAAAAATGCCTATATGTATTAAAAGCAAATACAGAAATAGCCCATAATGAGCTTTGTACTGAATTGCAGATGGGAATGAAACAGCATTTATTTGTTCTTACATTCTCGTCTTAAGTATGATGTTTCTCCTCCTGC